CATCAAGGCATGGTTATATAAGAGACTGGGAACACATCTGGTACAACAGAGGTAACTAAAACTCCTGACTGTGCATTTAACCACAGACGACAGCAAAGGTATCTCGTGAACAGCTCTTTATTTAAGACAATAAAATATTGCATTTTTGATCATGGTACACAGAAAACAAAATGGCTGATAGACTTGCTGACTGTCTATTGTGGGAAGCAGGCGAGCATTAGAGCGGTCTGCTTTTAATGAATGCTGTCAGAAGGCTGACGAAGTCCTGCAAGAGAACCATGCTCTGTGTAAAGAAACATATAATGTGTGTGTGTGTGTGTGTGTTAAACAGAGATATATTTAGGAGATTATAGGATCACATTTTGATGTGATATAAAAGGTGATATAAAATAAAGGTGATATGTGGACTAACCAACCGACTAGCTTTGACAGACCTGTGTAGGTATTCCTTTTCCCACTCTTACCCTACCAAGACTGCACTTTGCAGGATTGAGTTTTGAGCTAAGAACTGACATCATAGCACTCGGGACATTCCCTTAAGCGATCCGTCTTCATTGTCAACAGATAGGGATGAGTTCCAATTCCGATGGTGCTAGTAGCCTTCCCTCGTCGACTAGATCCCCTAGTCGGGCACTCCTAGTTGTCTGCAGGATTATTATTTTAGGGATGAGAATCTCACGCATACAGATCCCATAAATTCCTGTTCAACCGTAAGGACCGCAAACGGTTACGAAGGAAGTTGGAGTCCGATTTGACAGGGAACTGAACTTGCTTAGACAAGTGGCCATTTTAGCCACAGGGAACAGTTGACTTGATGCGCAACTTTATGCGCGCGCATTCAGGATGTAGCCAGAAAAAAAAAGTAAAAATTGTGAGTGCAAATTTACTCATAGAAAATTAACATACACACAGACGGATCTGACGGCGGACTGGCGATAGTTGACACCCACGTCATGTGTAAGAGAATAACAACAGTATGATACCAATTAATTTCTGTATACGAAAATGCACCATAGCTGCATTTCTGATGATGCACATCTGTTGTATCAATCACATTGGTACGAAACTTGTCGATTTTATTTTATTGTTGTTTATTATTAGGTATCTTATCTTTTATTGTATCATTATCAACTCACATCCTTGTAGTTTGTTTACATACGGCTGAAATGTAAATACCAGCAAATTCCAACTGTCTCAAATTTCTAACGACAAACATACAATATAATATTGAATATTTATTGGAATCTATCATTAATTTAAATGAGAAATATTACTAGTTGACTAGTTGTTAAAAAAAGATACACTTGCTAGTCACGATGAAGGAAGGAATCATTTGACAGTCAGTGAGTTAAAAAGAAATTATGATACACTACTGCAGACAAGTGTTTAGTTATTTCCAGAATTGTTATTTTGAGAAATTATGTGGAAGTGGTGGATAACTGTTTTAGTTTTACAGAATAATGGTGAGAACACTGGACAGATATAAAGCAGGATAAACTTGTCTTTGAAAAAAATTAACAAAGAGAACTAGGCAATCCTTGCAACAGTGACACTAGGGGAGCCTAAGGATTAATCGCCGCATGGCTACTTCTGTCACCACGAAGGGGAGCATTTTATTTTGCCCTTGTTAGGTATTATCCCCTGCCTTACCGAAGGGTCTGGTTTCGAACCCTGGTCTTCTGCTTGAAAGCTCAGTGTTTTAACTGTTCAGCCAGCCACTCCTCATTGCTTGTGTAAGTTCACTTAGAATTAGGGCTGACCCTAATCCAAGCACCAACCCTAACCCTAAACTAAACCCTTACCCTACCCTAACCCTCATCTCAAACAATATAAAAAAATGAAAGAATATTATCAATATGTTAATAATGTACACTAACAATGTATTGCCTCCCTTGCGGTCCATTGATTGTATCCCCTATGTTCACCATTGCAAGGATTGCCGAGACCTGAGGTATACAGACATAACAAATGTAATTTCAGCATTCTATCCTAAATGTGGCAACTCTGACAGACAAAATCAAAAATATTATTCAAATACTGTGAAAGTTGTATATTTTGTTTGTCCTAAGTAACTAAAAACATGCATGCCTTAATGTGCAAATTCATTAGCTAATTTGAATAAATGTTCAGATGTCAGTGTGGCTCATAAAGACAGTTTTAGTTCATTGAATTCCCACACGAATATATGCAGTTTTGTATATGTTAATTAAACGCTTTAAAAAAATAATTTGTGTGTGTTAACAAAGAAACCGGCTCTCCTAGAAGATTTGGCCGGCAAGCTAGACGGCGTCGGCCGGCTTAGTGGGAGTTATGTCCCTTCGCCAAACTCAAAACAAGTCGCAGAAAAAGTCACGAATCAAATGACATACTTACCTACCATCATCCGGGTGCGTGTAGGGTTGCGTACGGTTGCGTCTAGGGTTACCTATCATCCTACGGTTGCGCGTAGGGCTGCGTAGGGTGTCTATCACCGCAACCACCAGTCTTATTTAGCGTGTATACGGTGATGATCACTGAGCAGCAGTTGAGTGGAAAGGGAAGGACTTTGTCATTTGCTGATGACATTTTATCGACAAAGGCGTGATAGACAGGAGATCGCCAGCACAATGCACAAAGAACTTGATCGAATTGCCGCCTGGTGTGATGGTCCAAATGCCTATGTCAATCTTTCGAAGGCATCATTGTCATGGTTCTCTTTGAAAAATCGCATTGTCAAGTCGGACTTAACCAGAAGTGAAATGTGTGATAATGTGTTGATCAGAACCAACGTTATGACGTTTCTCGGAGTGAGGTTCGATCGCAGCTTGTCATTCAGGGAACATGTTGACCCTGGGATAACAAAAGCACGAAAAGGTCTATCTGCAATGAGGATTATGGCTGCTTCCAATATCGAGCAAAGACTACTAATACTTCTATTTCACGATCTGGTCCGTCCCCCCCCCCCCCCCCCGCCCCTCATTAAATACGCTCTGACCATTCTCACTGTCAGTGCTACCCAGATTGAACGACTTGAAAAAATGACCGTATTTCATCATACGGTTGCGTGTAGGGCTGCGTAGGGTGTCTATCATCGTCCTACGGTTGCTTAGGGTTTGGGTTAGCGGTAGGGTTAGGGATTTTGGTTAGGGGTAGGGTTAGGGCTACGGTTAGATGTGAAAATTTTCACGTAAGAGGTCGAAATACTGGCCGACAATCTGATGTTTGTGGGAGTGGCGCCACTGGACGTGTGGCAAATATGACGGCAATAGCGCGCGGCTGGTGCCCAATCGGTGGCGAATTGTCCGTGTCAGTAGCATCCACCGTCCGTCGACTGTTTGCACGTGCATGTGACTGCGCGATTATAGGAAACTACGGTGTCACAATTGTCACATCTAACGCTACACCTAACCCCTAACTCTATCTCTAACCCTAACCGTAACCCTAACGCTACCCCTAACCGTAACCCTAACGCTACCCCTAATCCTAACCCAAACCCTAATCCTACCGCTAACCCTAACCCAACCCCTAACCACGCAAATTTATTGGTTATTAAAGCTTACAGATCGGCAAAACACCCACAGACAGACACACAGAAAGGAAAAAAACCCAGATTTTCCTGCAGCGTCAAAAGAAAAACCCAGATCTGGGGGACACAACCAAGCATTGGCAGCCCTGATGTCGACCTCACTGTCGTGTTTGAGTCGTGACTTTTTTCGCTCTTTGTTGTGAGTGCGGCCAAGGGAAAGAACTTCCACTACGCCGACCGAAGCCGACCTACTTGCCGGCCAAATCTGCTAGGAGAGCCAAGAAACCCCCTTCTGAAGGCTCCGTCTTCTTGGCACTGAAACTCCAAAAAAGCTCCGTCTCCAAAGGGTTAAGATACTCTAGTCTATAATTTAATAAATCATCACATCATAAATCATCATAGTCTGCCTGAAAGAAACTTGGTCTCTTGCTGGCTGTCCGGCCTTGTGCACTTTCATATTCATTCATTCAGGGAGTCACTAAATCCGGTGCCCATCATTGTGTTGGTTGGTCCCTGCCCCTCCTTTTTGGTACTATGCCTTCTATTATTCCAATCTGCCATGGGGCTTGAGATGACAAAAGTATTTCAGCTTCCGAGACAAGATGCTGTTTATTAACCAACCTTCCTTGATCTTCCGATGTTTTAAAATGTCAGTATAGACTTCCTTGATGTTCCAATGTTGTGAAATGTCAGTATATCTCCTATTCTTTGTCTGAGACTTTCTATAGCATTTCAGCTCAAAAGCCTCTATTTTCTTTCTTAGAAAGAGATAGTCCATGACTCACATCTGTATGTTGCTACAGGGAAGATGTTTGCTCTCAAAATTTTAATTTTGATTTCCTTGCTGGTACTCAGGCATAGCCTTTTAATGCATTGCTATGGCCATCCCCCTTTTGATTTCTGTCAATCTTGCTATTTATTATGGAGCCTTGGTATTTGAAGTTTGTGGCATTTTCAATTTCTTCATAATTTATTTTTATTTTTGGGTGACAGCCAGTTTTGTCTGGATATTATTTTCATTTTCTTTAAATTCAAGAATAAGTGGGATTTGTAAAGTGGGAAAAGAAAATTTTCATCTTCTGTTGCATCATTTTAGAGTCATTAAACAAGAGGAGTAGTGCCTACAGAAATGTTTGGAAAAAGCCAAATAGATTCACTAAGATCTGTCAATGGACTAGTGCACTTCATTGTGAAAATAGATTGAAGACAGAAACTAACTCACCTTTAACTTTTACAGAGGCCGTATCAATTTGCAAATGAATCTGACATGTTTTTCACTTTTCCCTTATCTACAGAATTGTGTTTTTAGTCCCACCATTTCTTCTTAACAGTTTTCTTTTATTTATTCAAGCAAGTGTGTGTGTGTATGTATTTGTATATATATGTGTGTGTGTGTATTTGTATGTGTGTGTAAGAGAAAGGTTTTATGAAGATTATTTCCTTAGGCAAAAGTTGAACAATTTTAAAAATGTTATTTTACATCTTTTTCAGTCAGCAGCTCAAAATTAGATGAATACATTCACGACTTCCAGCCATTGCATTTTGACACAAAAAGTCTACATAGGAAACATGAAAGAGTGCGAAGATCTGCAAATCAACAGTTACATCTTCATTTCAATGCATACAATAGGTAAGTACACTATTTTATGTTCAGAAAAATTTCCTCATAGCTAAACATCGAAGTATCTCAGTGTTTTGGTGTTCGTGGTTCTCTGTGGTCATATTTTATAACATCACCAAAGGTTGTTTTTTTTTCCTTTCTTCCTTTGTCAGTAGTATTTTCATTGTAAATCAGTTTTCAATGTATCGGAGTTCATTTATGATAAACATGACAAATTTGACGGTTGTTAGTGTTTTGAAAGATAGCTTCTTTATATTTCTGTTGAATTGTTAAAGATGTTAGTGTAAAGAAAACTTGGCTGGTGTATATGTAATCTCATGTAGGTCATCTACTGGTATTATTTCAAAATTGTAAGGCATATGAGGTTAAAATTCATTGTTAGCACGAATATTGATGATAAAATTAGACTGAATATGGAAGGTGAAACATGGCACTTTCAGCTTAGGAAATACTCGCTTGGACTAAGATATATATATACATATATATATATTTGAATAAAAAAAGACACAACAACAAATTACACAGTTTATTTCCTGGCATATTTTGCTGTATCTTTTCAAGTGCATACTGTAGTAACAGTTTAATAGAATGAATCAAATAAGTGAATCCTTTTACAACTGAAGTAAAAATTCAGCCACTTTAAAAATAACTGCCTGTTTTAACAGGGCAAATTCAGTTAAACATTCAGTGACAGAAAACAGTAGTAAACATCATTTGAAGCCTGTTACTTGAAGTTCATTTAGGGTCTAGACCTATAAATACTGTCTTCATTAATGGAAATTGGCTTGCAAACTAATTTGGCAAGGTGGACTTATAGCATCAGAAACTGCTGGTGTGATCTTGATGCTGAACGCTAACATAAGGTCTGCTCTGCACATATCTGTGCATAGCATCTCTTTCACTTGATGACTATGTTCTCACAGCCTGCTGTAGGTGGCCAAGCACCCTATGGTTGAGACATTTGGACACTCCCTGAGGTAAAGGGGCAGCACCTAGCAGCCAGTGGAAAATGCTTTGGCCTGCACCAGCTTAAACCGTACTCAGGGTTAAATGTTTCTTGTAGCTTTATTTCACATGGCTACCACTCTTACTTTTCTGTATCCTACTGCATAAAAAGAATCCATAAAAGATTATGTCATGGTTCAATAGGTTAGGGCACATAAATGTATACACAAGAAAAGAAAAAGGTTGTCTTGGATGCCCTGACATGTATTCTAACTTCTGGCAGCTGATTGTGCTTTCTCCCACTCCCTGATCTTTCTTTCCTTTCTCTTCTCGTCATGATGTTCTATCACAACAATCTGGACTACTAAGCCGTGTTAAAAAATAATACTTTACTGTGACTTCTCAGACTCTCTTGACCACTGGAGGCTGTCTGATGATGCTGCACAAGTTGCAAGGAATAACACACAGTGGCAGTTCTTTTACCACCATCTAGTTGTAGTAGAATAATGACAGTTAATTTACCTATAGAGATGTCACCGAAGCTACTAGCAGTACTATGACTGTTGACAATAACTACTACCACTACTCTACACCCTTGTGGTATCACCACATTGTCATTATCCAGACTGCCCGCTCAGACACTTGGTCAGTGACTGCCTCCAGCCAGTTCATAAGCTATGCTGCTTTACCCCCCATAGTTCACATGACCTGTGTGTACACCATAATAAGAATGTATTTTATATTTTGCTGTCAGTCTTATATTTACTCGATCCCCAACCCTACAAGGAACTTGTCAAACAGTAATACTCCGAACTGTCCCCAGACCTTAGAGCGGTCTGGGCCTAGCTAAATATTTTAGGTACAGTGAAGTGTCACAGGTCAGGTTCACTTTTGTGAGTAAATCCTCTATGCCACATCTACAGAGAGTCAAAGAATATAATTATCCCTGTGCACACACTGATGGATGCAATAAATGGAGAGGGTGACTTCACAAGGAAAAGCCGAAGAGGCTTATATTGACAGACCTCCCAAACAAACAATATACCCGGAAGACCACAGTCTAGGAATATTTCCCTAAATATTATACCCCCCCAGCCTTACTGGTTAAAGGAAAGGGTTTGGTGACTGCTGACAATAGATCCCCAGGGGTGAAAGTCTTAGATGTGTAATATCTCAACCTATTTGTTATGTTCACTGACACATACAAACATTAATTCTACAACACTTGAAGTGTATTATAAAATAAAGAAATCTAACGCAATAACATGAAATATTGAATCATAGGACTAAAAAAAATGTTTTCGTTTCTGCTTTCTCAGCATGCCACTCATGTTTTAATTTCTTTCAACTCTTTGATCAGCCACCACTGATCCACACATACAGGCTGTCCACTCTGACAATCAATCATCCACCTGGAACTTGAAGATATGGGACACAACCTGTGGATTGTTGTCTGATGTGTGCCTCTTTATTGTACCCTACTGAGGCTAGTCCTCATAAGTTATTCAGTTCATGGACACATACACAACATGGGGTAGCAGTAATAGTAATGTAGATTCCCTTTCAATCTTGCATAGAGAATGATAACTGATTTAAGTTTCTTTGTTTCTGAGGTGAAACACCTTATCCATGTCTCATAGACATACAGGTACAGGGGTCTTTCACCATGATATAAATGTGAATTGCATAAAATAGGCAAAAAAATGGTGGCTGAATGGAATTTACATGTCTCAAATGTTTCACAAAAATCGTACACTTTGCTGTCTATTATCAATGTAATTTGTAATTTTGATAAGAATGTTGAATTAAGAATCGACATCACAGCACTCGGGACACTCCCATAAGTGCTCAGTCCCCATCTTCAGTAGCAAGCGAAGAGTTCCAATTTCAATGGTACAAGTAACCGTCTGATTGTTTATCCGTCTCATCCTTCCCCTGAGTGTTAAGCATCGGCCTGATTCTCTGGTAACACCTCACAGCGCCATTCTCCTTAGACCGTAATGACCTGTCTGCGCCTCCGCACTGTTTACTCGCTCCCAAAGGGCCCTCACAATATCTAACTTGTCATCGATCAGTTCACCACCAAGTGGTGCAGAGCTAGCCAGTCTCCAAACACACCGGCATGACCTGGAGAAAATATCCAAAGGACGCTCCCTACCCGGGAACTCTGATGCTTGCCACTCTTCATGAAGCATGCCTGTTTTCACCTTTCTCAACATGCTCTGTGAGTCATTTACAATTACGGCATGTGTTTACAGCTCTTTATCAAGCCAATGGAAGGCATCAGAGATTGCCTCCACATCCATTCTGAAACTAGTCGTTGTGATATCATATGCAAGGCTTTGCTGCACTAGGCAAGGTCCATTCGCCTTTGCTTTGAAACCCCAGGCACTTCATCTGCCCCTCAACACAGGGTCATCTGTATAGATAATCACGTCACTTTGGCAGGAATCGTTATTTTTGATGAGATTATGACAGCAAGAAGATTGTCGAACTGTTATTAGACTGCATCAGGACTGTGTTTTCTGATGGCATCATGTTGGTGTAGGTTCTAGTCAAGGTCGTTGGACCTCACTGGGCACATCATAATGGTCAACAAAACAACAATGCTACATCAGCTAAGATTAGTGCTAAGTACAAATGTCAATATGCTAATGATGCGTAGGATGTCCAAGTCCTGATTATGGATGTACACACATGTCAGGGTGAATAGTTCGGTCATATATGCCAGTACGCTGATCTAGCTTACTAGAGTAATTAAAATAAGGTGCTAAGTTGGAGGCAACCAGCCAGAAGGCTCACCACAAAAAGCAGGATGCCACACACAAAGCTACAGGAAATATATCTACATCTGTGAATACTGGAAGTCACCCTCAAATGCCTAATGGAACCAGAAGGACAGAAAATAGATCTAGTCTCAAAATAATAATGGAACATGAAAGGAGTAAAAACCAAACAATTAGAACTAGAAAACACCTTGAACAAAGAGCAGATACATGTATGCTGCCTTCAAGAGACCTGCCTCAAATAAGACATAGCCTTCAAGATTAGAGGCTACCAATGTTACTGATCTGACCAAAAAGATGGGAGAAAGGGTGGAATACTAATCCTAGTCAAAAATAAGATATTTGCATGCCAGACTGATGCACGCATGGAAGGGATAGATGATCAGATTCTTAAGCTCAAGACAGAAAACAAAAGATTTCCAACTAATCAAATATTACTGTCTGAGCGACCGCTCCCAGTCACTGGATACAATAGTAGCAAATGAAAGAAGGATCGTGTGTGGAGATGTCAACAGTCAGTCACAAAGCTGGGGCTATGATCACATGGATCAGAGAGGAGAAAAACTGGAGGACTGGTAAGATGAAAATAGATTCATCCTCATAAATAGGCCAACCAACCCAACAACCTTCTACTTAAGAGCATGGTATACACCTCTGCACCAGACCTAGCTTTTCATTCGCCAGACACGGAATGGGATGTAACTAGAAATGTTAAGAAACAACTAGGAGTCAGTGACCACTGCCCGGTCTTTCTAACGATAGCAAACCAGCCCATAAGAAAGAGCAGCAGTTTGTCAAGATGGAATCACAAGAAAGCAGACTGGAATTTGTATTGGAACCATGGTTAAAAAATGTGAAAACAGACAACGATGCAGAAAAAGTTGTAATAGAGTTCAACAAATGCGTATTAAAGGCAGCCCTGGAAACAATACCAAGAGGTGCACGTAAGCAATATTAACCACACTGGAATTGTGATCTAGAGCAAATGCACAATGATGTGGAGAGCTATTCAACAAATACCAACATGCAAAGGCCAAGCTGCAGGCTAGATAGGCAAGCTGGCATTAAAAAGCAGTCTCTAAACTTTTAAATAGACATAAGGAAACTGGAGGCTAGTAAAACAAATTAACGATGAGAGCACAGGGAAGAAGGCAAATACTATAATATTTGCAGAAGAAGCTATCCTAACAAGAAAACAGGCAACTAACCATTTTGCTGACTTATTTGCTGAAGACAACAACATTGATGTTAGCCCAGAGAAGCAGCGAGAGTTCCAAG